CAAAACATATAATATGAAATAGGAAGAAAAGGTTCAAAGGGGAAGAGGAACTTGGGGGAAGGAGGGGGTAGAAAGAAGAGAAAGAAAAAAATGAGAAAAGAGGGAAAAAGCAGAAACAAAACTTTTGTAAATAAGGAGGGTTAGAGAGATGGAAGGGAGAGAAGGGGAATGGGAAGAAATAAGCACCAAGATACATCACGTACAGGTACAAGTTCCCAATGATGGTTGAGACCATAATGTATACCTAAAGTATGCCAGTGAACTTAATGAATAAAAAATAATTAATCCCCCTCAAAATTTGCACCCTCACTCTGAACACATTTATCCTGTTATTCTTGCCACTTTCTGAAGCCATTCTGGGAGTTCAATTTCATGTGTGTCTTTAGTTAATCTTCCAAAGCTGACTCAGTATCCCGAATCAATGCAAAGCATTCGCCTTTCATGGTCACTTTGAGATTGGGCAAGAGCTAGAATTGTGTAAGGTAGATGAGGACGCCACACAATGTTTCTATAAGGCTGCTTTTCCATGGGAGGACACAGGGCATCAGCTTTCACCATATCTTTGAACCTTCTAAAGACAGGAGGGAGGACTTCCAGAACAGCCCCAGAAAGAGAACAGGACTGTGGGATAAGTGTGTTTGGAGCAAGGGGAATATTTTGAGGGGGATAAATGGCAACGTGTCTTTTACTGTCATAAAATTTTTTTAAACGTCATCATATTTTTTATCACCTCTTGTATTTTGAACTCCAGTAATAATGATTTTTAGAAAAATAATTTCCATTTTAAATATGTAACATATTCATTGTAAAATATTCATTGCTTATCATGTATACTTGGAACCCTTGGAGAACAGTGAAAAAGTTAGATGTTGTTCTTTCTCTGATGATTTAATACTCTGATAGGAGAAATAGGAAAAAGTGTGAGTTTTGAAGTTTTTTGCTTTCTTGGGTGTGATGTCAGCTGTTCAGAATTCTTTTTAGGATAATAGAGCTCCAGTTTAAAAATGGGAAACAGTGAGTTAATAAGATTTAAGAGAGGATTTTGCTTTTAAAACAAAGATTTCAGGAATGAACTCACCTTATGATGGAAGAGACCTATTTAAATTTAAATTAAACATTTTCAGAGGTATATTTTTAATACAGGAACGGCAGTGCAATCCCTGATGTCCAAGACATAGTGGTTGCAATCCAGTTTGCACTCTTGCTTTGCTGCGCTGGGGAACTCTGCCTATAACCCTGTCAGAGTAGTCAGATCTCAAGAGAGAGCTTTGTATTTTTAACGCAAGTGCATTTTATATTAAGAGCCGACTCTCATTCCTAGACTGCAATATGATAATCATTGCTAGTGTTGTGGACATTACCCATATTCCTCTCTTATGTTATGATAAAAGTTTGATTTTCTTTTGGGGAAGAGATATGCCCAACTAACATACTTTTGTCCAAGACTTCCTTGCAGCTAGGGATGATGAATTAACTCAGTTTTATGGAGTGTGATATAAGCAGAAGGACCTCTAGGAAAAGTTTTGTAGCACAGATTTAATCTTGGATGGCACATTCTTTTTGGCTCTGTGCTAACTCCAGCTACCTTTCTCTTCCTGGAACCAGATATGGTATGTGGAGGTTCAGCAGCCATTGGGTGACCATGAGGATAAAACACATACGGTACTCTAAGAATGAAGAAGTGGGGTCTAGAAGGCCTTTAATCCTTGCTGGTGTACCTAGGCAGCTAAAATAGCTCAGAATTGTCTACTTCTGGATTTCCTGTTACCTGAAAAAAATAGTCTTTTATGTTAAATTTGAGTTTCTTGTTACTTGCAGCCAAACTCTTTCCTAACCAATACAGAGGCATTATTAGAAATATGAGAAAGAAAATCCTGCCGTGGAGTTGAAATAACTCTATCAGAATACATTTTGTTAATAAAGTTGACAGCTAAGCCCACGTATTTTTAATGTTCATGTGTTTAGGAGAGTGTCCAGAATAAAAGGAATCCAATAGATCCGTTCAATTATTTGAAAATGTAAACTAGTACAACCACTATGAAATCAGTGTGGAGATTCCTCAAGCACTTAAAAATAGAAATTCCATTTGACACAGCTATCCCCCTTCTTGGTATCTTCCCAAAAGAGTTAAAATCATTATAGTATAGGGATACATGCATACCCATGTTTATAGTAGCACAATTTATAATAACTAAATCTTGGAAATAGCCTATGTGCCCATTAACAGATAAATAGATAAGGAAAATGTGGTATTTATACACAATGGAGTACTATGCTGCCATAAAGAAAGATAGACTCAAGGCATTCACAGGTAAATGGATGCAACTTGAGACCATAATATTAAATGAAATGTCAGACACACGAGCTCAAATATCACGTTTTCCTTTATATGAGAAACCATATATAAATACCAATAAAGAGCAAAATAAAAGAGAGATAAATAGGGTGTAGGGAGAAGTTCAAATACTTCCCCAAATTACATATTCCATTGTTTCAAAAATATTTTAATATGTATGCTAATTGGTTTAATTTACCTTAATGGTTTATCTTACAAAAGAAAAATTTGTATTATTATCTGTTTGTTTCTGTTTTGTAAGAATCTTTTTGGTTTATGTCTTGTACTCTGACTAACTCCTTTGAAGATAACGATGTACAATGTATTAACTATTGTTATTTTTACTATTTTGTTATGAAATTTAATTTTTTCATAAAATAAAAAATGTTACCCATTGCTGACAGAAAAAAAAAGAATTCATCTGGCCCAAAGAGGAGGTGCTGGTGTTACGAACAGGCCTCATGCTTAGCACCTTCTGAACAGACTTCTGCTGGCAATCACCAGAATAGGTTCATCCCTGGGTTCTGGTCGCCCCAGTTCAAAGGCCCATCCCCTTGCAAAGGAATTTCTCCCCCTTCGATTCAAGGGATGTAAATACTCTTTGAACTGTAGACATCTCCTGCTGCTTCTGGCTTTCATCTTAAAAAAAGCAGGAGACAGTATCGTGCTTTGTAGATTTAAAACTTCACTTGTGAAAGGAGACCTCCCTGTTGAAAGTTGGCTGCTATTAACTTCAGTTTTATTATTGATCCTTGAAGGAACACACATGACTCTTAGGTGTCTTTCAGTGTAGCTCAGTGGGAGGAAGCATGTCTTGTCTGAGATACCACGGCAGAACCTTGGGTCTTAGCCTTGGGGAAATCAAGCCAAGGTGAAAACTGTATGTGTAGCCAAATTCAACAGTCTCTATTCAACAAAAGGCAAACCAAAACAAACTAAATCATGAATGATGACCAAGTCAGCTTCCGAGAATTCTTCGCAGTTGCATACGGTCATCAAGGTAATGGAATCAAGCTTTTTAATTCTACTGTCCCATGGAGGAACAGACCCACCAACCGCACCATCCCTGGCTAGTTCTATTCATGGCCATTCTGTCCCTGTGAGTCAGTAATGTGCATTTGGGACAGAATCTGCACTGGCAAAAACATTTTCAGCTGAACATCTGTTTCAGCCAGATAAAGAAGTTTCTTATAAACAGACAGTAACCATGGCCATGAAAATTGTATTGATTCTTATCTTTCTTGGGCACAGACAGGATAATTTTTAAGAGAAGGGTAAGAGAGATCCAGATGTTCCCTCTCTGGAATAGTATTTTATTAAAAAGTGTTCCCAGGATGTTTGGATTATTAACATGTCACCGGGAAACTGAAGATCTTTCAACTCATCATAAAGGCCAGGCCTTCAGGATAATAATGGAAATTTCCCAGTGCTGTTGGGAAGAAAATCATGCAATGAATATAAAAGCATGCAAAGTAAGAAAGTGGATTCCTGTTTCCTGGGTACTTCTCTGATGTGGATACTCAGCATTGTGCTTCTGGATATTTCTCCACACAGTGTCACTGTGGAAAGGGGCCAGTGCCTCTCTTCCATGATAGCAAAATGGAAGGCCAAACTCACAGGTGGGACTGGTTCAGTTCATGTTCATGACTAGGTTGGTATGACTGCAAACCTGAGACTACATTCTTCTTCTTCTGTTAGACCAAGCATTGACAGTTTTGTTCCAGGAAAAATAACATCCTCGGTCACATTAAATTAATGTGAGAAATTTAAATTTTATTGGTTTTGTAGTTATGTTTAGCTATAATTTGAAACCTTATTCTGGACCTATAGTTCATCAAAGCTGTCAGCATAAGGAGACTATAACTAATTTTATGATTATACATATAGGAATTAAATTATAATGAATTTTAAAAATTACATTGTGGGCCCATGAGAAATGTGTGTATGTATGTGTGAATTCCTTTACAAAGACTACTGTCAAGGCTATGGAAAAACCTTTTCAGGTGATTGGAAGTCCTTGAACACTAAGGTACCTTATCAGAATAGTGGTTTTGGATAAAGTAAAGGAAGATAAATTTATTTGCTTTGTTTTTTATTTTTGTTTTTGTTTTTGTGGTACCGGGGATTGAACTTGGGTCCTTGAGCTTGTGAAGCAGGTGGCGGAACCACTGAGCTAAATCCCTGGCAGGAAGATAAATTTAAATAGACTGCTGGGGGAAAGACTGGAATATACTAGCTATACAATACTACCACTGAGCAATGAACTAAATAAAAGCACCAAGATAGCATTCTATTATAGCAAATAATATATACATATGTGTATATCATTAATCAGAAAATATGGCGAATGCTTAAATTTTAAAAAAATTATGGTAAAGACACACTGTCATTAATTTCACTGAAAATGCTCCTCTTCACTGCAAACACACTTATCCCACCATTCTTGTACTTTCTGAAGCAGTTCTGCAAGCCTTCTTTCATGAAGTCTTTAGTGGTCTTGTGTGGCTGCCTTGACGTCTTGAATCCACTTAAAACATTTACCCATAATGGTCATTTGGACTTTGGGGAAAGAGCCAGAGTTCATTCAGTGCCAGATGTGGTGAATAAATGTGAATGAAGATACAATATAATGTTTTTAGTTGACAATGATTAAATTTTTTAATAGGTTTGGAACACCCAGGCAGCCATGAGAAAGATGCTCGGGAAAGAGGACTTGCAGAACTTCTTCAGAAAGTGGCAAGAATGACAGGTAAGTGTGTTCAAAGTGAGGAAGACTAGTTTGAGGGGGATGAATGGCAAGGCATGTTTTACTATAATAATTTAAGAAATTTTTATTCAACATTTAATGTAATTTTTGATCACACTGTGTGCGTGTGTGTGTGTGTGTGTGTGTTTAAATAAATACATGTCTAGCCTTGGGTACCAGAACACAGAGAGTTAAAAGAACTTGGTGATTCTATTCCAGATATGACTTGGTTCTGGTTCTGCCGAAGCAGAACTCTGTGGCCAGGGTTCATGTGCCAGGGATTCACCAGGACAAGTTCCTAGCAGATGCCCATACAGGAAGCAGAGGAGCAGACAGGGAGGGGAAGAAGCCACACCAAGCTGTGGCTTCAAATGAAGACTTAGAGAGCAGCCGCAGCCCAGGCCACATGGAGATGCAGCAGAGCCAGAGGGCAGACCCAGTGGTCCCGGGCTTCCCTCTCCCGCCCAGCCCATCCCAGGCCAAGGGCGGCCGAAGGGGATGGGAGCCCCGTCCCTTGGTAGTGGGGAGCAGTCTTGCAGAGCAGAGCCCTTGGGACCTCCAAGTGAAAGCTCCCAAAGCCGAGGGAGGGGGACACATGGTGGTAAAAGGGACCCTGGGGATCAACAGCAGCATGGTCTGCTCTGGTCCGGGCACACTGCTTTCTTGAGTTCCTGAAGGAGACTGAGTCCTGCCTGCTGTCAGGGTCTTTGAAAATCCTCTTCTCTCCTCCCGGAGTGCTTTCCTGCCAGCCCCTCAGGTGCCAGTCTCTGTTCCTTGCTCAACTCATGTAGCTTCTGTTGAGCAGGTTTCCTGGGTGGGTTCCTAGTGCCCTGGCCAAACATCTCCCTCTTCATTCTTGGACACAAGGTCAGGGAGACCTGGCCGGCTCCCTGTGGCTGGGGCGCACTATGTCTGACTCTGGCAGGCGAGATGTGGGCGGAAAGGGACATGTGGTAGTTCAGGTCAGTGCATTTAATTGCTGCCATGCTGCCCTCCAGATCTTTTGTTTTCCTGCCTCAAAACCGACTGTGAGGCCCAACATAATACTGTGGTAGCTATCTGGGTCCCTGCTTCCACAAGGGTTGAGCAGAAGCAAAACCTGGAGAGTCACATGGGGTAAGGGATTTGCCAAAGGATGGGAACCTCCAGAGACTTGGGCATTGGTCAAGACATCTATGGAAGATGGTGGTCCCTGGGTCCTTGTGTGTGCAGGAGGAAGAGCAGAACACTAGACCTCTGAAGACGGCCTGGAAGCCACGTCTACCTGTCACCTCAGTGATGCCAGCTGTCTGCAGGAGGACCTGGTGCCCTTGTGCTAGAGCTGTACATGCATCTGGCCCAGGAGTCTGAGGAGGCTGATGGAGGAGACCCGGTAGGCTCTTCACTTCTGGATTCCAGATCCCACACAGACCTGCCGGGGGCCCATGCTGATCTGCAGCTGTAGAAGAAAGGAACTCTGGGAAATGTAGTTCCAGGTTATTTAATTTGCAGAGTACAAAATTATCACAGTCTTGAGGGACTACAATGAGCGGTTTCCATAACAACCTGTGCTGAATAGGTAGAAGGAAGGAGAAACCAGCTTTTGTTGTTTTTCAGCCCCTTATACTGGGGGCGTTTGTTACTACAGCTTAACCTGGTCAGTCTATTACATTATCCCTGAACATTTCGTATGAAAAAACACACCGTTCCCTGAAGTTAGTGTATGCTATATTGATTAGCTTACTATCAGTTTATTTCTTTAATTTACTACTTTGCAGGATTATCTTGTTTGCTTTTAAAAAAAATTCCGCTTCCTTTTAGTAGGTTTCATGAGAACAGAGACTTATTTCTCTTAGTCACTGCTGAATCCCTGGTCCCTAGAATAGTGTTGGGCTTCTAATACTTGCACAATAAATACTTGTGGGATAAAAGAATGAATTTTTAGTATTCTGGGTTTCTCTCTCTCTCTCTGTCTCTTGAAACTGACTCGAAAGGCATGAGGGCTGGAGATGTAGATGTAGATTCATGAATTATGTAAATGACAAAGTCATAGGGGGATGGATGTGACTTTCAAGTTACAAAAATGGTCAGAGGGCTTGAGAGATATTTTAAAGTGTTGCTTTTGCTGCTCTCTAGACACCTGCCACCACTAGGGTGGCTGTGACTCTCTCTCCTGCCCAGGGAATAAATGTTGCCAAATAGACTATGGAAAACTAAAAACTGTAGGTCTTTATCATTCTACACTTATAAGACTTATTCAATACGTATTGACTTTTCTGATAAGACAGAAAAGTTGATTAATTTAAAAATAGGACTAGATAATCCACATAGTACCAAGTATAGCCATGATCAAAACAAAAGCCATTTCCAAGTCCTAAAAGCAAGTACAGTATTACTCACCACACATATTGCAGGTTTTTTTCCTTGTGTTTGACTTTTTCTTTTTCAGTTTATTTTAATTCGGATACTTCATGGGCTAGTATTTAAATACTTCATTATAAATTGATAGCACTATTTTAGTTGCTATGTGTAATGAGCTTTTAGCTGTAGCTGGTCCGGCTCTTTCCTGCATCTTGAAGAGTCTGCCTTGATCGAAAACTCTGATACCCCATGGAAGTCTAGCTTGTAAATATCGCCATCGTGGGAGGCCAGATGGGAAGAATGAGGCCTGATTGGGCTCCTCCATGAGCACTGAGAAGAAAGAGGGCATGCAAGCTGCTAACACACTGCAGGGAGAAGCAAAAACACTTGAGGTTAAGTTGTTTACTCGAAGTACCGTGGAAGGTGGGAGACAGTTGAATCCTGTGGAACTCTAATCGCTTGTGCCCATGTCTGAGTGAATAAAACCAAGGTGTACCAGTCATTTGGGGCTCTATGTCAAAAGGAGACATGAGCCTCCTGGCCCTCCAGATTTTAGCCTGTTTCTGTGTCTTTATTTTCCATCTTTGTCAGTTTCCAGCTCATAGGCTGGTTCCTACACTCTGTGTTTGGTTTTCTGGAGTGGCCCTACTTCTTTGCTTCTTTTCAGAAGGAAATGCCTATGCATTCTACCTGGAATGGACAGTTGTTATATTTGCAAGCTAGCATCCTCTCACTGGTTCCTTTTAAAAAGGCAACTATGCTTTGCACTTTCTCTGGGAAGCACTTTCAATCCAGGTGCTTCTGAGGAACATGGTCCTCAGCTCCTGGAGCGTGACATTTCTCTGGCCATTATGACATGTGAACACACAGGCACCTGGCCCCAGGAGGAGCCAATTAGTTATGCTGTAAAGACCTTCACAGAGACATCTGGGAAAAACATTCATTTTTCCATCAAAGGTGCATTTGTTAGGACATGAATTGCAGTAGTCATCTTACAGCCACAAGGGGAGACTTTGCCTGAGAGGGCAGCTTCATGGCAGAAGGCAGAACCTAGAGGTGGGGTGACAGAGGTATCAGTGCATAGCAGCACCATTTGTGTTCTGACCAAGCCTTACCTGAACTTATTCCCACCTCTAAACTTTTCAGGAATGTGAACCAATACGTTACCATCACATTGAAGCCAATTTGGGTTGAGTTTCTGTTACTTGTGACCAAAGAAGTCCTAAGCGATACCCTGCTTGAGCAGTCAGTTTTTATAATGTGTCCCGATTTGCACGGGACAAATTCAGTGATTAGAGTGGGTGGTGAAGACATGAAAGCTGGAAGTCAAGGCTTGGAGCTGATGAGGGAGAAAATGGGACAAGAACCACAGCGTGGAATAGAGTCACCAAGAAGAATGATTCTCAAACCAGGCTGCACACTGGAGCAGCCCAAGGAATTTTCATAAGGCTGGTGCCTGGGTGTCACCATCAGAGTTGTGCTTTAACTGGCCTGGAGCACAGTGTGGACATCAGCAGGGTTCAAAGTGGCTGAAACCTGTAGGTGCTTTGGGAAGGCCTGAGGGATGGTTTAAATGGACTTTCCCCAAACAGGCATAGGTAAGGTCTGGTCCCCTAGGTGCTGGTATTAGAAGGTGTTGTGAACCTGTAAGAGGTGGGGCCACAGTCATTTTAGTCATCAGAAGGTGAAAAGGATCATGTTTTGTTTTGTTGTGTTGTTTGTTTTGCAGTAAGGCCTCACACATGCTAGGCAAGTGCTTTACCACTGAGATCCATCCCCGGACAGGAAGTGAAAAGGATTATGGGACCACAGTCTACCTGTCTCTCTCTTTTGCCTGGCTTGAGATGGAGATGTGATGGCTCACTCTGAAACCTGCTCCTCATATGATGTTCTGCCCACACTGAGGCCCAAACCAATGGTGCTGCTCAGTGTTGGACTTGTTGCTCCAGAGCCACAAGACAAAATAAAGCTCTCTTTATTTCATAAGTATCTGGTCACAGGATTTCCTAACAGTGACAGAAAGCTCACCAACACCCTTAGCTCTGGGGCATCCTGGTGTTTGATTGAAGGAAAACTAAGAAGCTAGAAGAGAGGGAAGAGCTGAAGGCGCTGATGGAGGACAGGAAGTTGTTTAACTCCCAAAATCCTTGCCGAAAAATACTGTAGTACTGAAAACCTCAGCACCAGATGGACCAGTGGTAGAAAAATGTAAGGTGTATGTTTTGTGTTTTCTGAGAGTTACACCTGTGTAATGCCATCTTTTAAAATTTTATCATTGGATCCAGTATTAAATTTGTATTTCATTTGAAACGGTTTGATGGCTCCAGTATCTTGCATATTTTCTCCTTTTATGCCATGAGCACACTTGAGTGATGGATTTCAAAAATAAAATGAGGAAAATCGTGATAATTAGATTGAAGATTTAATAATAGACTTAAAAAGGCTTATTGTGTTGTTTTAAAATTCACTCATAGCTTTATTTTTCTGAAATTAATGGTTTTGGAAGTCCTAAAGCAAATTAGTCTCTGAGTGTGTTTGAATTTATAAGAAAATATTCACATAAGCTGTTCTAAACTCCACTGATTGATTTTTGGGTATAGACCATAACATTTCAGTTCTCAAAAGTTCTTAGGAGATAAAGATTGAGTTAGCAATTAAAGAAATTATTATTTTTCAAATGATAAAATAATAAAAGAATGTTCTTTGTGGAAATGTATAAAACAGGCTGGCGTAGTGAAGAAAAAGTCTGCCTAAGCTTTATTTCTTAACAAATATTAAAATGTAATACTATTTTAACTTGTTTTTTCTGATCAATAATAAATTGAGAATATATTTCTGGGTTATTTCTCAATCTATAATGATGTTGCTGTTTTAAGGATGTTTTAAGTTTTTTTTATGTGGGAGTTTGAAGTTAATAGGAAAGAACAAGGACAAAAATAAGTTACCTGTAATTTTATCACACAAAAATTTATTATTTAAATTAAAAGTAAAAAGGGCTGTGTCCTTCTCAGTATTACTTTCATTTTCTTCCATAAAACAGGGACAGTGTGGACATCTTATTTAGCATGTGGATATTGCATCCATAACTTAAAAATATATGGTGAACATTTTTCCATGTGGAAGTATTCTTTTCTCTCAAATTTTAAAACTGAATGTGTAGTATAGGCCATAGTTTTATTTACCCAATCTCTGTCATTAAACATTTGGTTCTCTCCAATATTTTGCATTTTTTGTGTAATGCTGTAAAGGAATGTATTGTGGCTAAGTTGTTGTGCTACCCAGTACTAGTTCCTTGTACGTCCGTGTTCCAGAAGTGGAATTGCTGAATCAGAGGAATTGGAGTGGAAATTTTTCATGCACAGTTTTGGCATAGGCAAATAATATGATTAAGCGATTATGAACAGTGGCGATCACCAAGAGAGAAAGTTTGTAATCCTTCAAATCAAGTTCATTTTCCTCAGGACCACCCACTTCTTCATGTCCTTGATTGCTCTGTCCAATTTATGGGCTCCCGATTGATAATCCAAACTCTGCTGGCCTCTTGGGCGCACCAAATTGCTTTCTTTTGCCCAAATACGCCACATGTGTGTGTTTACAGCTCTGTTTCACTGTGCTCCCTTTCTGAGAGATAGCTTTTCACCCTTTCCATCTTTCAACATTCAGTGTTTGTATTAGCTGTTCTGTGAAATCCATGCCAAAGTTAGCCCACACTTCCTTTGTTCTCCCACAATCCTTGGAGCTCATGGGTAGTGTGATCCTAGCATTCCACACTGTGTGTCTGGTCATGCCTCCCTTTCCTGGAAAGTGGGGACCATGTCTTATTTTTCTTGTAACTGCTGTGCTCATCAGTGATTAGGACTCTGCTTTGTGCTGTGCACCTTAATCTTCATTAACTGCAACCCACAGTAAGAAATACATTCTATATCACGGTTTATCATGTTTATATGTTTATAACACACACTTGCACACAGTTGACATGAAAGTTTCATGGAAGGAAATTTTCCATGACAGAATGCTATTCCCCAATTTCCTGTTTTGTCCATTTGTATTTGTCATTTAAAGTATTCTGGTCACAGTCCACCAAATCAATTTATCTCCTAATGAGTCATGATTCTCAGTTTGTAAAACTCTACTTAGCATAAGCTCAAGAACTATTTGTTGATCTGAATTACAAAATACTGGTTTATTTTGAAGCAAATTTCAGATAATATGTAATTTACCCATAAATACTTCACTATACATTTTTAAAACAAAAAATTTTACATAAAAATGTCATTTTTATACCTAAAATATATAATTTCATGATAGCATCAGGAATCTAGTTAGTGTCCAATTTCCTCAATTGTCTTACAAATGGTTTTCAAAAAATTACTTCTGATTAATATAGTGCTTAAATTTCTTTTAATCTTGTAGTCATTTCTCTCTTTCATCCTCGTCACATTTTAGGTCTTTTGTAATATGGGTTTGCTGTATTAGTTGTATTATTATTCAAATCTGCTAAAGCAGATGGTAGGGATGAAATGTCTAAGAAATTTTAAATTCATATGGTAAGTAAGCTAGTGACTTATGAGGTGTAGGTGACACAGGCTATGCTAAGACTAAATAATGAATAAGGAAGAATCTTATGCGACATAGTAGGATTTGTGTGATACACTAGTTACAGAGAGCAAGTTGGTAACCAGGAAGAACGGTAGTGATGGAATAAATGGAATGCTTAATAGGACACACAAGAGTCTCACTTATAGAGAAAAAAGAAAATAAGACCAACCTGTAATGAAATGATCATGCCACCCCTGGGCTGAAAGCCTGTCCCATGGAGAGAATTTACAACCTTGCCAACACTTGTTATTTTCTGATCTTTTGAGCATGGCCATCGTAATGTTAGGATGTTAGGTGTTATCACATTGGGATTTTGTTTGTTTTTTGAGACAGAGTCTCACCATACATTCCAGGCTGACCTTAAACTCACCATGTAGCCCACACTGGACTTGAACTCGTGGGAATCCTCTTGCTTCTCCCTCCCAAATGCTCAGCTTACAGGAGTGCCCATCATGCACCTCTCATTGTAATTTTGATGTGCATTTCTCTTGTGATCAGATGTTGCGTATGCTTATTGGCCATTTGTGTATCTTTGGAGAATTGTTTATTTATGTTCTTTATCCATTTTTAAATTGGGTTTTTGTTTGTCTTACCCTTGTTTCTAAATTCATTTATTAAACAGTAATTCAAGCCTCTTAATTTGACCTTTGAACCTATCTGTTCTGTGACCTCTGGGGAGGCCTGTCTGGCAGTGTTCTTGGAACTTTCCATTGCATCAGGGCAATTTCCCCTCTATCTTTGATGCAGCCTAATTTGAGATACTGTTTGTAACCCTCTTTTTAATGCACTAGTGCTGGATCCTGTCAGTTGTTCTGTTTTCCTCTCCACCCTCCCCTCTACTCTCCTTCTAATAGAATACTGATTTTGTTCAGATATCCATTGATGCCTTCTGCAGTCAGACACTATCTTCACTCCAGCTCTTCAGTGTGCCTGACTTTCCTATTCAAATCCCCCTTGCCACTGACTAGCTCAAGAAGGATCGCTTGATACAATTCTGGCCTTACCTTGTGAAGGGAAGTCAGCTGAACTGGAGGATTTCCTGGGAAAGAGTTCTCTGGTTCTCTCAGGAAGAGGAAGTCTCTCCTCTCTTCTAAACATTGGTCCAGCAAGTGACACATGGCAGTTGCTGTAGTCACCCCAAGGGGAGTGAGTAGCCCCAAGGGGATGCAGAAAGAGGACTGACCCATGTCACCGATGTAGACCTTGCTGAGCTTCTGAATCTTCCTACCCCAAAGCCTGCGTTGCCTCTTACCTTTAGGCTTCATTTTTGACGTCAGTTAAGTCCAAATTCTTATTCTTGCAAGTGAATACATCTTTAACTGAAACACCTACCAAAAGTTATTATTTAAATCACTTAAACTGGTCACTTCTTAATAGAATGTGGACCATCAGCACTAGAAGCATTTTACATTTGTTAAAATGTGCCTTTTGGGGCCCCACTTCAAACATGCTGATTCAGAACTATAGTGGGATACATGCATTCTTATAGACGCCAAGGCATCAGAAATAATAGCGTAAACTTGATGAAATTATTAAGCAAAACTATCCTAAGCTTGCACATAAAGCTGAGTTTGACTTTCTGTCTTTTCAGTGTGTTGAACAGATTCACCTGAGATGAATTATGTGAGAGGAAGTACCTGTGTTTACTTTCAGTTTGCCACTTGGTTAGAACCAGTTACCTTAAGTTATATGTTAGCTGATAGGTTTCTATCCAGGAGGAAAATAGCCCTAAACAGTTGTAATTTAGTGACCTTACAGAGCATTGCTTAGGTTTGGATTCTTTTTTTTTTTTTGGTACCGGGGATCGAACTTGGGTCCTTGCGCTTGGGAGGCAGGCAGCGGAACCACTGAGCTAAATCCCCAGCCCGAGTTTTGGATTCTTAACAGACTCATTTCAGTGTTCTTTGACCAGCTTTTGAGATAAATCTCTATTTCTCTATTTCTACTTTGAACCAGTCCAATGATTGTATTGGTTTATTCATCGATTAATAAATTGAATAACTTTTACAGTGAAGAATAATAATTTTATTTTTATATGAGAGTCATGATTTTTTTTGAAGATTATAGTTCAGTGGGATTCTTAACTCCTTTGTTCATTTTTTCTTCCCAAAGGGACAAGGTGTGACTGTTCCCTCTACCAAGGACAGTTACATATCTTGATGCCTGCAGGAAAAAGGCAGAGAAAAGACTCAATTTTTCCTTGGGTACCAGTGTGATTTGTATGTTTTTACATACAACATGTTGAGGGTATTGTTTTTAACTTTTGCACACTGTGCTTGATAATTGTAAACCAATGTCTCCAATGTTTTTAGGTGCTGAGGTGACTTCCTGTTTTATTGCCCAAATGATGGTTCTGTTCTTTGGAATACATTTAGACCAATTAGGAGCGAAGTGAATTATTAACTAGTTCTTATTTAAAACATGGTTTCTCACAGTTTATGTAATCATTTGGAGTATGTTTCTTTGGAGGCCTGGAAGCACTGTGGAGGGTGGGCACCAGGTAACCCTGGGTTTGAGTCCAGCCCTTGTTACATAATCACATGACCCTGGGAAGGGTCAGTGATGTCAGTTTTCTTCCATGTGGAAAAAGGATAAGAGCCTATGCAGCTCTTTAAGTGAGAGGGAAGACACTGAATGGAGAAGCTCAGAGATCACCTCTGAGATGCAGTGTCTGAGTGGAATTCTGTTTCTGCCACACAGAGACTTGTGACTTGGATGAATTACCTAATGTCTTTGAGTATCATTTTCCATTTCAAAAAGGCAAATATTAGTTCCCATCTCACAGGGTAGCAATGATTATCACAGGTGATGGTGCCATGTTCTTCAACATTAGTTGTTGCCATATCTGGACCTAGAATGTCTCCTAACAGCCCGTGTATGAAAGGCTTGTCCCCAGCTTGGTGCTGTTTGGAGGTGGTAGAACCTTCAAGAGGTAGGGTCTACTGGAGATCTGTGACATTGGAGTGGGCCTTTGAAGGCAGTAGTGAAATCCTCATCTTCTTTTTCTCTCTTTTGCTTCCCAGCCATGAGGTGAATGGTTTTGCTGGGCCTTGTGCTTCCCCCTCATTGCCATCTGGCCTGCCAGGGTACTGGACTGGACCATCTAAAACCATGAGCCCAAATATAGCTTTTGTCCTCATAAATTA